CCTCACTCGCCACCTCTCTGCCAGCTGTTCCTTAAAGGTCCCTTTTCCCCATCAGAGCCTTCTGGAATCTCTCCAGATACCCTAACACCAGCCATGACTGGGTTTTGCCTGCTCACTTCTGTGGCCCTTTCATTTCTGAGCAAGTTCTTATATTCCACCTATACTTGGGGACCTTGAATCTTTAAATGATCCACCACTTCCAGAGTTTATCTCTGACCAGAATATTAACTTCAGATTTCCTTTGCTCCTTACTCAAGGCTTTGAGCCAGTCCCAGGCCTTTGAGTTCCAGGCTTGCCAAGCTGAGGATATACAACATTTTCAATTAGACGAATGCTTTTCATACTGGGGAATCTCACTAAAATAGAAACTCCAAATTAGTAAGTCTGGGATGGAGCCTGAAATTCCGTATTTCTAACAAACTCCCTGGTTGTACAGAGGCTGCTTTGAGGAGCAAAGCTGTTCATCTCCTAAAGAACCTCTTAACTCTTCCCTCTGCCTTTTTCTCTGGCTTCTCCAATTGTCCCACTGTCAGCTTGTTTCCTTCAGCAACCCTGCTTATTTCTCTGACATGGCTCCCCATGGCTTATAAGAAAAAATCCAAACATGTTTGTGGAACATTCAAGGAACCTACTTGAAATCCTAATAAATATTCAAAGACCAGCTAAACAACAGCTCCTCCTCTTCCGACTGGCCTTAACCATCGCTTTGCACACAGGTGTCCCAGTTTGCACCCCTGATGAGTCCTTTCTTCCTTTACATTCCTGGATTGCAGGAGTTTGCTCCCCCACCCACTCTGAAGGGCTCTGTGAGGGTCCCCCTGCATTCCTAGTCTAAGCACAGAGCCAGGACAGGGCCCGTGTTCGCTGAGTGCCTGGTCGTGCGACTTGTGTTAGACTCTGAGTAACCAGGGCGCGCCCGGGGTGGTGGAGCCAGCAGAATGACTGTGATGGATGGTTTTGTTGTAAATCGCTTTTAAAAAATCGGGAGTGGGGGAATTTATAAATAATAGAGCTATGCATACCAGATTCATAACCAAGAGGATAAGGGAACCAACCCTCAATGCAGAATCCTAAATGCTGGTTGAAGGCTATTACTGGATTTCCTCTTGTGCAGACAGCTACTGCTTGAAAATAGTGTTGTTTTCTGTGATACCATGGATCTGACAGAAATATACCATTAATGCCTGGGTGTCAGTGTTTGAGGGTCGATAAGATCTGATTGATTCTATCTTCATGGCTATATGATGATGCTTACACATGATTTTGAATTCCTTCCATTTTTTGCCTTTGATACAGTCCTTGGAACTCAGTGTGCAATGATTCACCACTTTAAGAGTGTATTTGGATCCATTTGTTTTCCATTACAATCTGATTAAATTGCTTATTTAATTATGCTCATAAAATTTTAAACTTTACTAAAACATCACTTATTTTTATACTAATATCAGTGGCCAACTTTTAAAAATGGGTTTAGTTATTATAATTTTCCCAAATCACAGAGTTACTGGTCCAGAGCCATTCTCTATGGTGAATTCATAATGCCAGCAACCAACACGTACTTTAAGAAATCAAGATTCAAGTAAGTTTTCCATTCTTAACGGTCTTTGGGTACGTTCACAGAAAGCTGGGAAAAGTCCTACCATTCAGGATTAGCGTGGGGGCTGTTGCAGCAGAGGTAGACACAGCATGGACCCCAATATCTTGTTTTAATATTTGGTTCATCCACTAAATAGTGAGTGATTTTACACTGTCCACTGCAGCTCCCCGGAGCACAGTTTTCCCAGTTACAGTAGGACAGAGCTAGGAAAAAATGTATTCTTTCAGAAGTATGTTTTGAGAACCTACCACATGGTAGACCATGGGATATATTTGCAAATCAGGTAGACTTGCCCCTGTCCTCCAGGAACTCTTAAGATATATGTGTCGAAGGTAGATGAGAGGTGGCATGAGATGATAACTTGTGAGCTAAGGAGATGGGAGTTTCCTAGATCCATGAGCTCTGTGTTCAAATCATATTAAACAGTCTGACACTGTATAAAATCAGCAATATCTGTCTCATGCTTTGCTTTAGGGTCTCTGCCTATGCATAATTGTGACTCTCCTCCTTGTTTCACCTTTTCCTGCTTATCATTTGACACTTACCTAAGGAATTACTTCACATGACCAGATCTGTCTGGGGCAGGAACTCTTCCCTGAACACTATAGCCCTTGTCTTTGAATTTTACTGTAGCACCATATTACAGTATCTGTTTGCTCATCTAATATCCTGCTAGATATAAACTGTTGAAACAGGGTTATTTGAAAATCTCAGTTATACTTAAAATCACTGCATAGTGAACAAAATAACTATGAATTAGTTAGTGAACTAACTAATGAGGATCAATAATTAATCAATTACTGATGCTTGATAATGCCATTACTTTATATCTCTTAGGTTCTGTTAACAGAGTTCAAATTACTCTATAGCAATGTGGTCAGTAACACTCATTTAGTCATATAAGGTAGAATGTTACAGCAGAAGTGTCTCTGCTTTGTAACAAAAGTTCAAATATGATGTGTCTCAGTTTGACGATCCATTTTTATTTCACCCATTCAGCCTTATCTGGCCCTCCCAAAGCTCTTCTGACTTTGGACTCAGAGCCCTGGCTGAATCTTTTACCCTTATTTGACTCTCCTCATATTCTACTTTGATTTTCTTCCCTTTTAATTTATGTATGATCTTTACCAATGCTATTGTGACCCCCCGCAAAAAATATAGTTTAATGGATCTCTGAGAAATTTATGAAGAACTAACTGGTCTATGGGCTGGGTGTAGCTAATCAGGTAGGCAATACACCAACATGTGGTATGTAATCAATGAGCCTTTGTGAAAGAGTGAACACTCAGTTTTGATGTAGTTGACCATTTGCCAGTTACTGCTTTATTTACTAAATATTCACCTACCTGAATGATCACAGAAAGGATGGTGAGAACTGTGCCACGGAGAAGCCATGAATCTGCCTTTTCCAACCACAACTGTGCCAGAATCACCTGTGGGCTTTTAAAGCATCCAGATGCCCAGACCCTGCCCCTAGAGAATCCAACATGGGAGGTCTGGGGTGGAGCCACAGCATTACATGCTTAAAACCCTGTGCAGATTGCACTGGAGAGAAGTCAGGGTTGGGAATCTCTATAGTAAACTTCAGCGAGTTAGGAGATATTTGCCCCAAGGACTTTGTGAGTCCCTCAAAAGATGTGCAACTGTTATTACTTTTGGGAAAAATGACCTTGAGGGCCTCAATTGTCTTAGTTGGTGAGGATATTTCTTGACTTTAAGCCCATTTGTATGAGCTATAAAAAGAGATTTGGTGAGCCCAGAAACCATAAGTTAATTAAAATCAACCATAAGTTGAAGCAGAAATGCCAGCAGTCTACTGACTGATTGGAGTGGAGGGAATTGAGCCGGTTCACATCTTATGTGTTGTAACAATAGGGGTAAATGAGTAGATCTTTAAAAATTCTGAAACAGACATTTTAAATGTATTCATGAACTTTCTCTGAAGGTCTGGAAAACAAGGAGGCTGTGTGGTCTAGAGGAAAAGGACCTTGGACCTTGGACCTACTCCCAGGGCTGCTTCTAACCACACGTGTGACCTTGGCCTATGATTTAACCTCTTGAGGTCAGTTTGCTTATCTGTAAAATGTGTGGGCTATATTAGTTATTCTTGAGTCCCCTCCCAATTTAAAACTCTATAATTTAATAGAATTTTTAGGATTTCTTTATAATTTTAAATGCCTAACAATATAATATTCTCCCTGCCAAAAATAAAAAAGAATACTTTGCTGTTATATTTTTCTCTGAATCTTATGGATCAAGATAGTTTGTGTTGGTTCACTAGTGCTTCCTAATGTAGACTAAAACAGGAGATTTGTTAACACCGCATTTTTAAACTACTTGGCATTTGATTATTGGCATTTATAGAATAAAGATAATTCCAAATGGCCTCAAATAACAGAGCATTCAGTTCAGTTGAGCAAAATCACTCTTTTGAAACTTTTTTTGTAGATTAAGATGCAGAGAGGCCCAAAAATTTTACCTATACAGTTTCATTCCCTCCCCCCAAAGTGGCACATCCATGTAAACAACACCCACATTAATAAATAGAACATTACTGGTGCCCTGATGTCACCCCATCATACTCCCTTCCAATCACTGTTTCCCATCCCCTCAAATGTTAACCACTGTCCTGATTTGTAAAATTACAGATTTGTTCTTGCCTATTTTTTTGCTTATTCATGTCTCTGTGTTTTTTTGTTGAACATTATATTTTGAAATTCATTCAAATGGTAATTTATATGGGGAGATTGTTCATTCCTAGCTCTATCTATAGTAATCTACTATATGCAAACATCATAATTTTATGTTGATTAGCATTTGGGTAGTTTCCAGTTTGAAGCTTTTACAAATAATGCTGCTATGAAGGTTCTAACCTATGTCTGTTGATAACATATATTCACATTTCTCTTGGGTGTACTCCTGAGAGCGGAATTGTTGGGTTATGTTGTACAGCACACTGCTCTTTGAGTGGTTCATATGTAACTGGCCTATTGATTGGTTCTGGGATCCCAAATATATTGCAGTCTCCAAGGGGCCAAACCACTACTTCTTGGATTGGAAATGCATTAACAAACCATACATGCATATCTGAGCTATAAATAAACTTCTTGCTAAAGCCTGCTTGGGCTACTGTTGAAGCACATTTTTGTTCATTGAGCAAAGCCACATAGTAATGAAACTGAGGGCCCTTATGACCATGATTAAATTTAGTTTAAATCTGAGCTCTAGGAATAATCCCTCCCTCTTTCTCTTTCTCTCTTTCCCTCTCTCTCTACCCCTCAGAGACTTAGCCTTTGCCCTGGATACTCAGCAACCTCCAAGACAGAAGACAGAAGCCTGAACCTGACTAAAGGTAACAGGGTCTGGACCTCTGGCAGGCTAAAGATAACATCTTGACCTAAGTTGTGTTTCAGCTCCTGACCCCTAAGGTGGAACCACCCCTTGGCTACTTGTCCATGGGACTGAACAGAGGGTCTGGAATAAACCTCAGAGCTGCCCTCAAGATCTGAAGAAATGATTCCTCACCCTTCCCTCACTCCAACAAATCAGCTTCCAGCAGGATTTTGCCCTACATAATCTGTAGCTTGTATACTATCAGGGAGTTTGGGCTTTTAAGCATTACCTTCCTTTTCCTGGATGGTGCCATTCACAGTGAAATAGCCAATATTTCTCCACTGCAATTCTCAGTGTCTACTGTTTGGTTCTGCTAGCACAGGGTGGACGAACTCTTTCTGTTCTGTAACAGTTAGCAGAGAGAGGGAGACCCCGTTATACCTCATAGTATCAGCAGGCACTGCAGTGTCACAGTGAGTTTGAAGAATGCCCCTTTAAAAGAAAAAAATAAAAACAGGAAAGAAAGAAAAACATCATGTTCTGCTAATAGTCTCTGTGTATTCATTTAAAGTCATCTGGGGAGTATTAGGCACGGTGGGACTGTGCTTTGTTTTGCTTTGTTTTTAGTTGAACTGAAGGTTAGGCAATGCACTGAGGACCTGAAACAAGGGCTTCCCACACAGCAATCCCTTAAATTGATCCTGAGATTTGGTACATAAAAAGTTATATGGTTCTTTTCTTTCCCAGCCTTCCTGCAGGATCCATTTTTAGGCCTCTCAGAAAGTCACCTGCTCAATATTTCCACTGTGCGTGGGTGGGGCAGTTTGGCCCAGAGGGCAGTTCCGATGTCTTTGTGCTTCTATAATTAAAGATTTGTTTCTGCCCGAGGTCACGTCCACCTTATCAGTTAGTGGCTTGCTGGCCCTTAAATGGATGGGGCCACTTTAGGCCGTGCATTCTGCTTAGATTAATAGCCGATTATGAGAAAGTCTGCGGGTGACAAAGTGGGTGGCTTCAAGAAGGTGGAAAGTCCTTATTAATCTTCTGCAGTCAGTAGAGGTCTGAGGTAGAGGTCCCCGTGGGTTATGAAGAAGGCTCACTCCTGTCATGCATGTGGGATCTGGGGTCAGGTTCTCTGGAAGCAGAACCTAAGGCTGTTATTTGGGCGCATGTGATTTATTGAGGAAGTGCTTTCATGAGAAAGGGGGTGAGAGAAGCAGGGCAAGACAGTGGAAGGTGCCAACTAAGGGTATCATCTTGCCTGGTCCCGTGGGAGATCTGGAAGATGCGTTGCACCACGTAGAGGCTTGGGGGCCCAGCATTTTTACTAGTTGTCGTTCGTGCCAGCCAGTCATCTGTTGCAGGCTGCCAGTGGAGGGCCCGTGAGCAACGTCTCAGGCAAAGGGGCTCCCAGTCAGCCAGATGTGCGTCTTCAGGGAAGAGGGCAGCTGAAAGCCATTAGTAGCCAGCAGGAGCTGGCAAACACACTGGCCAGTAACAGTGACCCACGTGAGGACTCCAGTAGCATCCACTACACACACATTGTCATTCCTGGGGATTTACCATAGCGGGTGGAAGCAGAGAGCCATTTCTTTCTACTTTAAACCTTTGGTTGGCTCTATGGGGAATTACAGAAGACACTTGATGGTGGCCTCTTCTGTTTGCCACTTGGTAGCTGGCGAGTTTTCATCAGACTTATTCCTGAAACAACCTGCTCCCCTTTTTAGCAGCACAGGTCTCTATGCTCCTTTCCTGACTCCTAACATCTCTCACCTTTCATATCCAGCTGAAAATCGGCTGTATCTCTCAGATTCAGGCAAAATATCCCACTTCCTCTCCAAAGCACGAAGTCTGTCTGTTTCCTTCACCCTAATTCATCCCTTCTCCTTTTATGGTGTGAGCTCCCGTCGCATCGTCTGGCACTTAATTGCTGGTGGTGTTTGCTTTCTAGGCATATTGCCTTGTCTTCACAAATAGACTGTACGCTTGTCGGAGGTTGGGATTCCCCAGAAGCCGAACCTGAGATGAGGATTTGAGTGTAAGAATGTGATTTCAGGGAGCACTGATAGAGGAGTGGGGAGTGAGATGGGGGGGGCAACTTAAGGTGTGTTGCTGAGGTTACCACCATCACCAACCGCAACAGGATCCCACTGCAGACCTCTGAGAGAATCTATAGAGCACTCCCCAGAATTGTTCCACCCAAAGGGTGAGAAAATGGGGCGCTTGTCCTCCAACCGCCACTTTTGACACGCTTAGTGTGTTGCTTTGGCTAATGCTTCCTTTCCTTTGCGTTGCTTGGACCATCTGCTTTAGGAGAATTTCTCCTAACTCATTTTCTATTCTCCAGTGTCTCCTTCCCACACTACAAGAAAAACAACCACGATGCTAAAGACACAGTTTAAAACATTTCAAATTTATATATATTACTGCGCCTCCAAGGAACATTTCTAAAATATGACCACAGCTTGTTCTCATGCTTTTTTGCTTTTTTTTTGGTAGTCTCTAATGAATGTAGGCAATGCAAAGATAGCATTTCTGTAGAGTACCCCAAATAGGATGCCTTTTTCCAACTAATCGTGCTCTTTCCGCCTGTGATGAGGTGCTGCAGACACTGGGTTTCTTCACTGTGGGATCTCTGCCCAGGATATCACTTTACTCAGTTTGGTTGCATCTATTTTGTTCTGCTTTTGACAGCTATACTCTACATTTGTAGATAATGAGGAATTCATTATTCAACAACCAAAACATAAGGAAATGTCCCTCCATCCATATCAAGTTATTTTACTTTTGACAATATGCTAAGTTGAAATCTACTGTTGCCTCTGATTTTCCAGATATATTTTGGAACAGGAACAAGTTTTACTGCATTTGCAATTTACTGGAGCTTTACTTGTATGACTTGATAATTTATTTGCCCGGTCGGGCGTGTCTCAGCGGTTGAGCATTGACCTAGGATCCAGGATATCGGGGTTTGATTCCCGGTCAGGGCACATGCCCGGGTTGCGGGCCCCATCCCCAGTCGCGGGCGTGCAGGAGGCAGCCGATCAATGACTCTCATCATTGATGTTTCTATCTCTCTCTCCCCCTCTCCTTTCCTCTCTCTGAAACCAATAAAGATATATATTTTTAAAAATATATAAGTTATTTGATCTAAGACCCCAAAGAAATTTGTTTAGATATTTTTTTGTGAAGAATGTATATAAACTAGATCTGGACAAATCAATTTCTATATGCAATGTACAAGAATGGTTCCACATATAGGAAATTTATCCTGTCTACACATAATTCTTTAAAAATTAATATTCAATTTTTATTTGGGCCAGTTTAAAAAATTTTCATTTTTAAGTTTGATTTCCAATCAGGTAGCCTGAGACTGAGATGATCACCACTAATAAACATTTTTCCATTTTGGACATATTTATGAGCAATACATTTACATGATGAATTATCCAAAATGTATAGCTCTGATGTATTTTCTTGGTATGCTTTTTTATTCTTTCATTGTACAGTGGACGTTATGATCTGGCCTAGTGGGCACTGGTACCTTGCCAGTACAAAGGAGTGGAGTTTGGTCACTGGGGTGACTCAAACCACATGAAGAATGTACATTAACACAAACACCTCTAACTAAACAT